AAGATTCATTTATGAGTATCAGAAAAATACAGGTATTAAAGAAGGTAGAAACACTCAAAAAATTAATAACAACTTATAGTTTTAGCACGTTTATTACTCCTCCTGCCGAGCAGCATATTATTTGCTACAAGTCATCCACAAAAACAAGGTATTTATAAGGTTTTTTTTACTTGATTACCTGAATATGGCAAAGATGAGAATAATATTGATAACTCCTAAGAGAGCCCCAAATAAAACTGGTGCTGTGTACATGTTCAGCTGAAGACAAAGGAATTTCCACGTTACTCCTTCTTCTCCAATAAGTGTAAAACATGTCTGAAAAACTTAAAAACATCAATGTACTGTGAAAATCTTGAGAATCATTAAGAAAGCATTAGAACACGTAAGAAAAGTTGTTCTAACTGCTAAGGAAAATTTAAGTATTACACCTCTCCAACCTTTTACATTTTGAGAATCCTATTCTAAATAAACAAAATGGATACCAGTGGGATCTCAGCTAGCCAGGAAAGTAAATGATTACATAAAATAAACAGTATAAACAGCACCATGACACTTATAGTACTGAATTCTGAGTATAGTGATGGTTAATTTTCTTAGCAGACAGACAATTTATTCTTTTTTCCTCTTGCTCCTAGTGGAAAATCTTGGTTCTGGGACGACTGGATTATCCCTCGTGCTAAGGGCAAACTAGAGAGAAAAGATGCTATGGGCGGGGGGAGGGTTAAATTAAATTTTAAATTGGTGCAGAGCAATTGGACAAGAATTTTTCATATATATTGGCTTACAGAAGTACAGACTAGTGGATCCCACTTATTCAATTGTGATATCATTGACAAACTATGCCTTAAAATTCCCTGCATACAGCTGCTGAGGATTCCTACTTCCAATGCCCAATTTCAACCTAAGAAGAGAAGTGAGGAAAGAAGATTTGCTTTACCTGGGCCTAATATGAAGCCAACTGCTTGGCAGGCACTGGTATTGGCCATGGCACTCGTTCTTTCTGTCAGAGAAGTGGCACCCGCAATATACGATCGAACTACAGCCACATTTCCTTTAAAAAATCCAAAACCAAGCAAAGGTTCATGCAAATATCAACTTCATATCATTAAACTGTTGAGTGACATTTATTTTAGGAGTTTGTTTCTTATTTTGCAAGATAATAAAAGCCAGCACTCCCTCCAGTATTTTTATGCAACAGCACAATTGCACAATTTTGTTACAAATCATTATGCGCCAACCCTTTGCTTTGTTAAATATTACGTTCTCATTCACATAATGGTAAATCTGGTATTAAAACTTAACATTAACAATCTTACATGAGACACAGAATGTAATGATTTCCAGAAATGTAAGTCCTGTTGCGTTTACCTGCTCCAAACCCCACGAGAGCACGGGCAGTCAGCATGTAGTACTTGTTGTGGGAATGGGGCACATGGACGTAGGCATAGAGACAATTAGCAGCTACTGAAATAGCAGTGGAAATGACCAGGGGTTCTCTCCTGGGCCTGTAGTTGGACCACAGGCCAAAGAGGGGAGAGGCAACCATCTGGCCAATGCTGTATGAAGCTATAATCCAGCCCAAGAAACTGGCATCTGCTGTTGGATCAATCTGCAGGAAGACAGAGTCAGATCTGTGGGTAAAGCACTGGAGTGTTTTATATTATCAGCAGCACCCTTTTAGAATTGACCTGGGACACCAAGGACCCTGGACTGTCATGCATTCTCTCACATGAGCAATAAACTCTGGCTCACTCTCTCCAGCAATGCACCAAACCAATAAAATCTGCTTTGCTTCCAAGCCTGGGAATGGCTCACTTGCAGCAAATTCCAGTTGTTTTTGTACAGCACTGCTGATGTTCTGGGCTAGAGACAGAACTTCAGCAGCATGGCAGGCACCTTCCATGCCAGGAGCAAGGAGTCACTTCTACTGATTCTGCACACGCCTCAATCTGTCCTGATTTACAAGGCTGGCAATGTATTTTCTTGTCTTCTGCAAGAGTTCAGCATCAGCCTCACTTTCAATGACACCTCTAGGTACCTGCCCAGGTTATACTCTTCCAAAATTGCATTTGAAACTGCCTTCTACAGCTCCAGGGGCACCAAAATCCTAGCACAGATTAAACTGAGGTTTTAGGGACTTCTGTGCTGCTTTTAAGATCTAAGAGGTGAAAAGCCCCCAGTTAAACTAAAATCACTACGCAGAAAAAATGGCTGTCCCCTGTTAGGAATACCAAGATCTATGTGCAACAAGGTAACATTTACAAAACAACTTCTACCTTCAGTTTCCTCTTTTTTTTTTTTTTTTTTTTTTTTTTTTTTTTTTTTTTTTTGTTTGTTTGTTTGTTTTTTGTTTTTTTTTTTTTTTTTTTTCTTTTTTTTCTTTTGTTCAAAACCCAGACAAGTCTTGTCTACTATGTTTTAATAACAAGACTTCTTTTGATTTGCTGTCCAGGAAATCATGATATTGGAAAACCAACATTTCTGGAGTATGATATACCTTTATCAATTCAGGAAAAAAAACTGACCGATTTTGCAAGAAATAATAAAAGCTGTCTAAGCGGATGGCAGAATAAAAGTCTCTTAAAGCCACACACCTCCCTCTACTTCTTCTTTTCCTAAATAAAACGCCAGGTTTTGTGTTACCTACTTTCTGAGCAGGAGTTTTCTGTTCTTAATAATTTAAAAAACACCCCATATTTACAAACCTTTTGGAGATATGGCCACACAGACATAATTACAATTGAGAAACCTGTAACACAATAAAAAATGACGTTATTTTATTTGCCATTTTTGTCAGTAATTTTCTTTCCTGAAACAGTTATTACAAGTTCATTCTTCTGCTTCTAAATGTATTATAGTATAAACCTGTGCATTTCCTGATTTTTTTAAGGAGTGGTAATTCCTCCTATCAGGAGGAAATATTTTCAAAAGACCATTTTGTAGGTGCATACACACTAAACAAAAAAACTCCCAGTGCTGTTCTCTCAATGGAAAGAAAACAATGTCCCCAAAGTAAAGTAAAAATAATTTCTTGATAGACTGACATATCTGTATTGATTAGTCAAAGAGATTTTAATTAATAATAATAAAAAAAAGAGTTACTGAAGTATCCTATCAAATTCAAGATAATTTCTAGGCCCACAGAATATCACCACAGGTCAAAAATCAACAGCATTCTTGTTTCTGGGGGGAGTTATTTAGGAATAAAATTTCAATTTGTCCTGCAATGGAGTTGCAAAGTCCAGTAGGAGAAAACAATTTTTGATACATGTTTTGAAATAGACAGCATACATTCCCATAAAGATATTACCTCTTAAGAACTCCACGTTATTTCTGTTTTCATTCCCTAGAAGTTTCACTCCAGATTATAAATTGCAAGCTTTGTTTTGTTCAATACCCTTACCTTGCCACTACCGAAGTATTAGGGAGTCATAATCCACAGACTTATGCAATCCATCACTTTGTGTAAAACCAGTTTTATCATTACTTATCCCACTAGATGTAACTTTCTGTTTGATTTGCTAGGTTCATACATTAACTTTTGAGGAATCAAACAATGCACCTTTTTTGAGGTTTGAACAGTAGCATTAAAGAAGCTCTGTAGTTGGAATTTAGAAAGCCCTGTCATTTTCAAACCAAACTATATTAATTAAACAAGTAACATCGAGTTCCACATGTATTTACTCACCTACACTACTGAGAAACATTGTCAGGTACATGATCCAGATGGATCGCCACCTGCTCTTATAATGCTCCTGGGATTCCACAACATCCCTGATTTTAAAACAAAAAGCAAGAGGGAGAAAGAAATCATAATCAGATCTTCTTCTAGTTGCTCCCACATGACACTGAAAACATTTTTTTACCAACCTCTCAATACAACTGTGTAACTTGCTAAGCAGGAGTAGATGCCCGCTCAGCAAAGACTATAGAACTATTTTTCAGTGGAAAGATGCTAGATTGACAAATCAAACAACACAACAGAAATACTATCACACACCAAATGTGTCACAGAGAGATCTTGATCTAGGGAGATCTCCAATTCTGCAAACTCTTTGTATAGACACTTTGGATCACAGATCATATAAAAGCTTTAAAAAGCGGGTGTTAAACCCCTCACAGCTGTAACCTTAAAAGAACCTCAAGCCTGAACAACTCTTGATTTCACTAAAAGCTACAGGCAGTCTGTTTTTATGAGAAAAATAACAACATACAACATAAAAATTGCGTGTAAAAGATACTGCTGTCTTTTGCAAGGGCTGAAAAAAAATTAAAATAGAAGCTACCAACTAAGTTACGAAGTTGGTATTCAGATGATGATGCAGACTCAGATGCCTAAACATAGTTTACAAACGCTGTTTATGCACATCTGCGATTTTAAGTTCAAAACACTTGTTTTGCTGTCAGAAGGGGGAAAAAAGCCTCAAGCAGCGAATAGCTGCCCACACACGAAGGCTGCTGTTAAACACCCAGCCGCACATTAACCCTACTCGGCGTTTTTTAGGCGCTTCCCAAGCGAGCGGCTTTGCGTTTCCCCGCGGAGGGAAGCAGCGCCCGGGCCGCTCCCGGGCCCGGTGCGAGCCGCGGGCTCCGGGCTGCGCAGCGCCGGGCACAGCGGCTCGGGCGGCGCCCCCGGGCCCGCCGTGAGGGGCGGGGAACGACCCGGCACCCACGGGCGACGCCTGGGCTCACCCGCGGCGGCGGCGCCCCACCTCCTGGCGCCGCCTCACCGCGCGGCCGGCCCCTACCTGCTCTCCTCCTCCTCCTCCTCCTCGCCCTCACCCGCCGCGGCCCCCGCGGACCCCAGCAGGGGCTCCCGCCCTTCGGGACGCCGCTCCGCAGCGGAGCCCGCGGCCGCCATGGCCCCGCCCGCGCCCGCCTCACGCGCGCCGCGTGCCCGCCGCTGGGGCGGGGCGGGGCGGGGCGGGGCCGGCCGCCTCCCGCCGAGCGCGCGCGCTCCCCCGCGCCCGGGCGCGCGCGCGCACGCGCGCCCGCCAAGCCCGCGCGCGTGAGCCGCGTCCCGTCCGTCCGTCCGCTCCTCCTCCTCCTCCTCCTCCTCCTCCTCCTCGTCTGCCTCCGCTGCCCGCTCCCGCCTTCCCATGTGGTGCCTCAGCACCGGCAGCGCCTCGGGTGAGCAGCGGGTGACCTTCGCGGGCCGGGGGCGGTGCCGGAGCCGCTGCCCCCTCACGGCGCGGCGGCTGTGTCCTGCCTCCCGCCGCCCCTTCCCGCGGGTCCCGGGGGCAGGGATGGCAGAGATTTGGGGCCGGCGTCGCGGCTGCCCCTTGGAGGGCTCGGGCAGGCTGGAGGGGAGCTGCTCGCAGCCCTGCTTCAGGCCCCGTTGTTTGTCCGTCCGCTTCTGTGGAGTTGCTGTGGGGCGTGTGTCTGTCTTGGCGTGACTTCTGTGTGATTTCTTTGATTCCTAAGCAGTAATTTCTCCTGTAAGAAAAGGGCCTAGCGTTAACTGTAAGAGAGGTATTTTAAAATAGAGAGAGAGGGTGGGGAAGTTGACAACTCCGCCTTCTCCAACAGCCTCCGTGGTTTTTTCAGGTTGGCTGCTGGGTGCGAGTATTTTCACACAAGGCCCACAGTGTAGTTTCCGTCCTATACATGCATGTGAAGCCCTCGTGTGCTTTCCAGGGCTGATATTCTTGTAACTGAATCTGTTTGCACGGATAAAAAGCAATATACATTTTATATATTGGCTTTTGGATGAATTTATGTGTCTGTTTCTATGTTTCTTCTTAGCGTGTTTTGTATCTGGTGCAGTTTCCATTCACAGGTCACGTTATGTGAAGTTTTCTGTGCTAACAATATATTCATTCAAGATGCGTGACACAGATCCTGTCACAGTGGGATCGGGATGTGGCATGTGTGCTGTTTCAGAATGAAGTAGCCTTTCCTGATTCTCTCATTCGTTTCAAATCCTCACTGCTGAAATACTCCTGTTAATGTGAAATTATAAAACTTCAGCTTCCAGCAGTTGGATTTGCCTTTCCTGGCAGTAAAGGTGTTTGTGATTGTCTTGCCTTGTAGGCATGGATGGGCAGTGACTGGAGCATGTCCTGCCCTTTTGTTATATATATACATATATACAGTAGGGGCCATCCTCCCAAATTTTTTATCTCAGTGATATTTCTAAAAAGTTTTATGCAGCATACTTCGCATACTAGGAATATTTTAAATTTTTTTTTTTAGTGCTTCCTATACTCTTTCCAGTAGTGCTTTTATCTTGATTGTGATTAATTGAAGTATCTCAAGTTACTTCAGAGTCTCCATTCCATCAATGAAGCAGAAGAGAGGATGAGAGAATGCTTTTGCCTCAATCAATATTTCATTTAAATATAATGTACTTGCCTAGAAAGTTGTTTTGGCACTCCCTTGGTGCAGCAGAGAGCTTTCAGGCCAGACTTGGGACTCAAAGCAAAATCTCCACCTTCATGTTTTTAAAACAAAGTGTCCCCCTTATGACTTTTTGCTAATTTCACGTATTTATTTTTACCCTGTAGTTATTGACCCTACACCCATTGTGGCTTTCTAGCATGCTTGTTCTAAAATTCAAGTACCTATAATTCCTCTTTTGATGTTAATTTATTCTAGGTGCTGTCTAGAAAGAGAGTTCTCATTTTTTTCCTGTATATGGATTTGTAAATGTTGGCTTTCTAGAAGTGCAGAGGAATGTTTTTGTTAATCTGATCTCAATTTTGACTTGTTTTAATCAAACAAGTTTATTTTTTAAAATTACCATATTGGAGTGTGGCAGAACACGTGCTTTTGGATGAAAATAAAATTTCAAAAACCCCATAAATTAAATTACACTACTTTGAAGTGTGACGAGATTATTGAATACATTTGGTATGGAGGGATCTGGAAATACTAGAAAATGTCTGGAGTAAACTCACTAACCAAGTGTTTGATTATTTCATCTGTTATTTTCTTAGGTGTACACAGATCCTGGACTTTAATTGAGTAACCTGTATCCTGCTGACCAAGAAACCAGATTCAAATTTTTGTTTTTAGTAGTGGTTTATTTTTTCCCTTCCTCGTTGGAAGAGCTCAGCAGTGGCTCCCTGTTCATGTCAGTAAGTATTGCTTTGAAAATAATACTCAGCTTGCCTAAAATCTCATTAGGTTTAGCTCTGTTTGAGCTGGTATATTTGTTGAAAGAGTGATTATCCTGGCAGGGATTTTGAGGGTGTGATTTCTTCCCAGAAAGGAATGGGAGGAGCATCAGTTTGAAAACTGTAAGAAAAATTGGAAAGGAACATATAAAATAAAGATTAGGATGTATGTTTACCACACCAAGGAAGGCAAGATTACAAAAATGAGCTTTCTCTGCAGCAGTGACTGGAGTTACATTCTTTACCTCCTTCTCTTCCTCCCTCCTTCCTCTTTTTCTCTCTCTCTCCTTCTCTCCACTAAGAAGATGAAGAGATGAAGTCTTCTAGTGGTTTAAACCCACCCATTGTTTCAAGCTCCCATTCCAAGATGTGTTTATGACAGCCCACCTTGGCTGAAGAGTTTGGCCATCGTAGCTCTACTGAGAGGACAGAGATCAGTGCTACTCTTTGCTCATGTACAGTGCAGCTAGGACTGGTTGAAGATGTAGTTTTAAAATGTAGTTTTGATGTACTCCTGGTGTGCCTCTTTAGCTGGCTTGTCATCAGTGGTGTAATGAATATCTGATTTTAATCAGCATTTTAAATTCCTACATGTTGTATCAACTGCCTTTATATTTTGTTCAAAATGAAAAGAGTTGACCTGAATATCAAGATAATTTTCTTGGAATACATTAGATGGCTTTTCCTTAATGCAGAAACCAGAATAAGAAACCACTTTGTGTTACAATCAATGAACTTGCCACTCATGTAGACTTTAACTGCCTTGTTTTAACCTCTGCTTTTTCCCCTAGATGACAGTGTGCTGCTAATGGGTGTAAGTAAATTAGATGTCTTGTACCGAAAACTTCTCCTCACTAAACTTTTCATCAGAGGATGGGGAAAACCAGAGGATCTGAAAAGGTGACTTGTTAAAAAGTAACTGCATAAATTATATGTTCCATTACAAGAAAATAAGCTAACCCTTGAAGTAGCAACAGTAATTGCTGTCCTTTATTTAAAATACCAAAAGGGTTTAAGTTGGTTCTGTTTCAGAAATCATGTGTTTCTATACCAAGGATAGAAAGATGGATTTAAAAGAAGCCTTAAAGGGATTTGGAATTTTTTTCCTTTTTAAAGATGTTCTTCTTGAGGGAATGTCTATAGGTACAACTGTATTTTTACTTATGTTTATCTGATGACATACTTGAAACAGCATGTCTGGAAGTATTTTCCAATAAAAAACTTGATGAAATTCTGCAGCAGAATAAACTGTTAAAGTGGTTCTTGCTATCTTTCTGTAACTTCCCAATTAGCTTTAAAACTGTAAGATTTAATCAGAAGTTTCTGTCACAGCCCAAAGTTGTAAACTTTCTTTTTAGTTGTCTTTAAAATAAGAAAAAAATGTAAGAACCTCTTAATTTTTAAGCATTTGATTATTTTTGTTAATTACTATTGAGATTAACACCTTGAGGTTGAGCACTTGTATTTCTTAAAGTATAAAAATGAAGTGACAATATATATATATTTTTTCTGCATTGTGCAGGATTTAAATAGGAAATTACAAACCTGCATTTAATAAGCTCACTCTTATGTATATGAAAATCAATGAAGAAACTTTTGAAAGCTACTGAAATAAAATGTTGTGCACTGGATAGCAGTGGAGTTTTATGGGAGCTTGTTTTTTGGTTTTTTGTTTGTTTGTTTTTGGTTTTTTTTGGAAGTCCACGTGCAAGATCTTATCTGGAAATGCATTGTGTGTCTGTCTTCATTTGATATTTCTTTTAAGTAGCAGACTTTCCTGCAAAATGGGAATGTTGACGTTGGTTGGAATAATCAAAACCAGTGGGGTTTGTTTTGACTGCAGTATTTCTGTATTCTATTCCATGTGTATATCCAAAATGGGATACTTTAATGTTATCAAAACCCTGTCTTTTAAAGACCTTTGGGTTCTTGGTGAGACACAGGCAGGTTTCAGTGTCCCATCTTCATCTCCCTGCGGTCCAACTGTTGTCTCTATACAGGGAGCCTCTGACTGATGCTGCTGCTCCCCATGCAAGGCTTGCCTGGGCTCTGGAGGGTGATCACACCCACACCAAATGTCAATTTGCTGGTGGTAACACTGATATCAGCTACAGTTCCTCCTTCTTCATTCAGGGGAAAACCCCTCTCCCAGCAGATCAAAGAGGGGGAGGAAGCAGGAGGCAAGCTTGCTGGTCTGCAGAGGGGAAGAAAGTTTTCTTCTATGTGCTGCCCCTCACTGGGATGAAGATGAGCTTTTCCCCAGCAGCTTGGCTTGACCTGGATGAAGAAGGAAGAATGCTACCTCCTTTTGACTTCTCACACTGCCTTGTGGGAGGAGGGGTTTTATTTTCACTTGTTAACTCATCACTGTGATCATTATTCAATCTTGGATAAGATTGAAGGACAGACTGCCTAATCTGAAATTTTGTGTGCACACCCTTGATGTGATGAATGGTAATATCCTCCCTTTGTCCTCAACTCATTAGCAAGGGTTGAAATTCCTCAGTAGAGGCGAGATTTAGCCTTCAGTATGCACTTAACTCTAGAAAAAATGACATAAATGCAGTATTTTTAGAAGTTTTATTGTCAAACAAAACCTCTCTTTAGCTTACCCTCCACACTCACATCTCACATCTTTACCCTTGCTTCCTCAGAAATACTTAATGCACTTGCTGTTTTCTATAAGAAAAGCAAAGGTTATAAAGCAGAGCTATTTTTTGTGTGCTGATAAACTGGATTATCTATCCATTCTTTGGTTTTTCTGTAGTGTTGGGTAGGTGAACAGATCATTCCTCTGTACTTTTCACTCAAAACTGTTCTAGCTTGTCAGGTCAAGTGTGTATTTATGAGCATAGGAATGAACAAGTTATAGAGTATTTATATATTTAAGGTTGAAGGAGCCAATGTGAGGGCATCAAGTCAAAATCCCTGTTCAAAACAAAGCTGACTTCTTCGTTTCTTCAAGTCGCTTGGCACTTCATTCACCTGACAGACACTTCATCCCTTGAGGATGAAGATCATTTATAGTTTCCCTGGGCTATATTTTCATGTGCTTTACTGTGAAAACAATCTTTCACTTTGCCCCAGAAGGGATTTCTTACACTGCAGCACATGACCATTGCCTCTTCATGTCCTTCAGTAATCTTGTCCTCCCACTGCATGCCTTTGAGAAGAGTTTTGTTTAATTTACTCTGTGTGGCTCTGTAGCCAATTTAAGTAGCAGAAGAAAGCAACCAAATTTGTCCCTTGGTTTTTACCTGAGACTTTTTTTTTTTTAACTTAAAAGTATCTTATGGTAGCTACCTACCCTATGGTGGCCTGATTAATCTGTAAATGCAATGCTGACTTCATAACTTTTATTTGTTTGTGGCTTACTTTAGCTCCTGAAATGTTATATAAATATGTCTCTTCTTTTTTTTAGATTAAAAGTTGAATCTTCTCTACTTGTTTCCTTTCAACAGAATATTTGAATTCAGAAAGATTATTGGGAACAGGGAAAAATGCCAGAAGCTTGTTTCAAAAGATTACCCAGTGTTCATTGACAAGGTACTTAAAATCAAGAGATGATGTGTTTTAACTAAATTTATTTTCCTAAGGGTATATAAAGGTGAAATAACTTGGTACTTTACACCAGACTACTTTTATAGGGTACTAGAAGAGAATGGAAGGAAATAGAGACTGAAGCAGTGCCTGTATAGCTACTGCATTTTTCATTTCCCAGTAGTGTAATAGTTGGGCAGTGATATATCAAATGTTAAAACTCAAAAAGTTTTCAAAACTTAGTTTGTGTTATTGAATGTATTTAAAATGGGACAGCATTACACCTTTGTTTGATTCCTATAAAAGATTATGTAATGAAAGCAAAGTTGAAAAAAAGTGTTTTGACCCTGTTTATAGCATGTACTCCTATTTTTAGGAGTAGGCCTGAGCTTTGGGGTTTTTTAAGCAAATTTTTTATGCTATAACAAGTTCTACTTTAAGAGATTTGCTTTCAGAGCAAGTTAAAGACACATAATATTTATTGTTATTGTCCCATTCTTTCTGCAGGTTGAGGGACAATCAGACTGTAAAATCCTTGAGGGGCACTTCATTTCTCCCTTGGCTCATTGTGTCCCAGGTATCCTGCCAGTCGAATCTCTTGTAGCAAGGTAAGAGAAACCAAGAGGTATTTCTGAAATTAGTGCTGCAGAGAAATAATGGTCTATAAGTAGTTTTATTGTGCAACTAATTGATTGTAATGCAAACAATCTGTAAAATCTTATTCACATGATAGTTCAATCTTTTGAACTAAGCAAAGTATTATTTTTTTTTTTTGTTTGGTGGTTTGTTTGTGGTTTTTTTTTAGTGTAGAAATCATATTGCACAAAGCTGTGGAATACCCTGAGTTTTATTAATTATTGGTTTGGTTTTTTGCAAATGAGAGGGATGTTAGAAATGAAGAACAGTAGTTATTGTTCTATATGTAGCAGAAGAAGCTGTTTATATTAAAGCATATTATGTTGTATTTGAAGGAGCCATTCCAGCTTTCCATTTCCATTGAATACAAACATTATGTACGTGTGATAAAGTAGCAAGCTTACTTTATTGTAGCCAGAGAACCTGGTTCCTTTCTTACTTGGCAACAAGCAAAGATTAAAAAACCACATTCTTAAAGGAAGCTGGAGGCTCCCTAACAGTGCTGGTTTCACACTAACACTTCTTTGCAGATGAGGAGTTGGTTTGCAAATGGAGCATAATTTGTTTGCTTTTAGTTTGGAGCTGAACTGTTATGATGAATTTTTTTTCCCAGACTTTGTTTGTTTAATAACATAAACATAAAAGTTGAGTTTAAACATAAACATTGGGTTGATACTGACATTGTAAATTTTGTCAGAAATACTGGTTGGTGGTTTTATATATGTACTTAAGCATGTAATGTTAAGGAATGTGAGAAAAGGTTTAATTCAGTAAATCAGTTCTGTTCCATCTTTAGTGGTTAGAGAAGGACACTGTTAACATTTATCAGATTAATTAGTGCCATACTGAACAATGCAATATACTCACTGTTTACTTATCTCTTGTGCTTTGTAGCCAAGTTATGGTAACTGTTACTTTGGCTAGTATTGTGACAGTTTGAAAAGCTGTACAGATTTACCTCAAGATGGTGTGAATGCATTTCCTGAGGTTTAACAGCCATGTAGGTAACAGTGCTCCATCTTGTGGGGAAAACAGCTGTGGCTCAGAAAGGATTTTTTTGTTCGGTAGTTTAAACTGTAGCAGCGGAAGGCATTAATGTTGAGTGTATAGAATAATTTCATGGTTTGTATGCTGGGGTTTTGATTTACTTTTTATTTATTACTCATCTTAATCTTCAATTTCAGCTGTTGTGCCTTCTGGAGAAAAATAGCAATGATGCCTAGGAGAGCTGGACATGCTTGTTTAGGCTGATCTTTATCTGAAGTTGCATTTCTCCACTCTGCAAAGTTTAAATTGTGATGATGAGGTAGTAGTCTTTTTTAGGAACATGATCTTTCATCTTGGCTCCTTTTCTTGTTTGGCCTTTCTTCTGTCCTAGTTTCAGATTCCTTTGTTTGCTTAATGTGTTCATGAAAAATGATGTTGCTGAATTGCTGGCAGTTTGCCTGCGTGGGTTACAAATACTTATGTTGTTTTGGTTTTGCTTTTTAATTAATTTCTTTTGATACAGCTTGTTAATAGATATTCTTACTCTGTTAAAATAGATGTTTTTCCTCACAGATTTCAGTTCATCATACCCAGAAGATGGAATGGCAAGCACAGACCTGTGTGCATTCATTTAGCAGGCACTGGAGACCATGTGAGTGTGTAAAATGTAAAATTGATTGTTACTTAGAAATTCAATCATAAATTTTTCCTTATCTGTGTTGTTTATACATCTTGTCTTTAGCACTTTTGGAGGAGACGCACATTAATGGCACGGCCAATGATTAAAGAAGCTTGTATGGCTTCCCTGTTGCTAGAAAATCCTTACTATATCCTTTTGTGGAAAACACAGTAGTTATTCCTAATGTCCTCTCTGGAAGCTAGAAGAGTTACCACACTTGTAAAATACCAACTTTTTGGTACCCAGTGGGTAGAAGCAAAGAAAGTATGGCCATTATGTGAAGCACAATTCTATGGTACCTCAGGTTAACTTCTGAGAAACTTGCTGTTACCACTTCAGATTTGGGTGTTTTTTTTTTTTAAAAACAGTAAAGTCTTGTTCTGTCATCTTGTGTAACAGTATTATTCTGTTTCATTAAGTTACTCTTTTTTCCTACCCATATATCTGACAGTAAAGTGTTGCAAACTGCATCATTAAAATAGATTGAAATTAATGTAGTGACAGTTAAACAGTGGGAGTTTAAATTCCAAATTTCAATTAATTCATGCTATTTATGCATATTATTTATTGTATCTACTTTTTTTTTTTAATTACCAATTTTTGATAAAGCCTTTTTTACTTTCTTTAACTGGAGTCTTTTACATGGCTGTAGAAAACCTAAGGATCAACTGTAAGTATTCCTGTTACATTTATGGATACCGTGTTTTTAAATACTGCTTTTCTTCTCTTTTAAGCCACAAGTTGCTTAAACTTTGATAGCTTATTAAGAAAAAAAAACATTTCAAAAACCACTTGTAACCTGCCAGTGTGAAATTGTTTGCTGTTTGCTAAACTGCTTTGGTGTTGTGTTAGGAGATCTCAGGGATCAGGAAAGTTTGCACAAGATGAACTTGCAGTATGAGTGAGATGCAAACATCTTGTGTGAGTATAAGCCAGGGCCATTTTATTTCCTGACTCACAACTGCAGTACAAGTGCTGCTGTTATATTTCAGTCAGCTCTGAATAATCTTTGCTCAGATAGCATATTTCTATTATCATTTATATAATAAATTATAATTGCTAGGATTCTGCTTTTCCAAGATCTTTTAGCAACTTACAGGCATATGAATAAATCTGGTGTTGATCGGTTGTTAGTCAGGACCCTATGCAATATTCAGTATTTTACAGGATTTGTTTTTTTTCAGACAGTTTCTTAAATTAGAATTTGGAAGCCTAATTAGGTAGTCTTGGGTTTTTTACTTTTTACATTTTCCAAACCACAGACCTTTTTTCAGAATTTAACAGGATATGTGTCTGAGGCAAAGCTTTGTCTCCCAATATATCTGAAAGTCCAAATATGAGTTGGTGTTTTAATCCTTTTTAATCCTAACTCAGACATTTAACATGACTAGAAGACACTGAGAAGGTGTTTTTTGTAAGGTTATATGAAAATGACAGGAGAAAGCCTGTGCTGGAATACATCCATTGGTAGGTTAATTTCCAATTATGTGGAATCTGAAGCAGAAGAATAAATTAAATAACTGTGTTCTCAGTTGTGCAGTGTATCAGTGTTTCAAAGGGGGTGATGCTGTCTAATGCCCCAATAGGTGATTGTCACTATCCAATGCAGGGTTACACAGCACCAGTGTAACAGGTGACAGTGTTCAATAAATACAGCAGCTGCAGAGGGCTGAGGAATCTTACTAAGCTGTAGGAAAGAATTGCATTAGGCTGTTAATGCTGCTGTGCAGCAGCTATGTTCATTTCTGTGTGACTTCACAGTGAGCTTTGTCCTTGTGCTTCAGAGTGTCGCAAATGTGACACTGGCATGCTGGCAGAAGAGGCCAGGAGCCCTTTTTAACCTGGCTGTGGTACTGAAAATAGTCAGCCCCCCTCCCCAAGTTAGAGGTCTATTGTTTTTAGAGTCCCTCTGATGGTTCAGCCAAATAGATTTCTACTTGTTTTGTGTCTTCTGTGTTTTAGTGCTTTGCAGTACACTGCCTGAATTTCTCAATATTGTGACAAACTTCCCACTTTACAGTTTCAGTCTTACAGTGACACTGATGAGTGCTTCCAAAGCTGACATACTGATTGCTCTTCAAATGTTGTGTGCAATTTTTCAATGATGTAAAACAGGTAAATAAGAAAAAAAAAAAAAATACTTGTTTCTGCAAACTAGATAGTGTATGCCTAGGACTGTATCACTTTGACTCTATTTTTAAAATATCTGTTACAACTTTACAGGACAGAATATTGCTTACTAATGAGATGCTAATGTTGGTAAATGTTTCCAAAAGACCAAGCTGTCAGTGATATTACATTAAAAGCATAGGCAGGTGTCTATTTCTAGTCCTCATGTGGACGAAAAATTAGCCAGAAAATACGGGCTTGTTTTTTCCTCCTGTTGAATCAACAGGAGTTCAGCTCCAAAATTCTCTGGGATTGTGCTGAAGCTGTGTATAAAAGTATGTATAGAATGATAAGAACTGTCAAGAGTCTAATCTTAGAAAATAAACCCTCTATTTTCCTTTTCTGGGGAGAAAAGACGGTCATGTTTAAAAAATGTCTCGGACCTGTTTGTGATGGGAGGAGCTCTAATTCTAGAATCGGCAGCTCTTTTGCACTGGCTAGAGAGAGAAGGCTATGGACCACTAGGGATGACTGGAATATCCATGGGAGGACATGTAAGCTTTTATATCTCCTGTTCAGTAATTTTTGTTTTAACTTCTCATTTGATCATGTAGCATACGGAAATAATTTGTTTTATAGTGTTGATCTCAGAAGTGCTTTAAAATAAACACTTTGAGTCATGAGAAACAAATTGTTGGCAATTCTCCTGTTCTGTGGTGCTGAATTAGTATAATCCTTAATATGTACTGACAAATCATAGAGCCCTTTGTCAGCCATCTCCCAGCAGGCTTAATAAGAATATAAACTTCTCACATAATTGGTTTTTTTTCCACAAGGGTGGGGGGAAGAAATGTTTGCTGAAAGAAAGTCTGCACTGATTGATTGCTAATTCTCCCTCTATTCCTCCTTTCTCCTTGCTTAAACCTTTGTGTTTTAATGTATTGTGTGAAATACCCCCTCTTTTAGGCATGTTGTAATTGTGGTGACTTTTTGGTGTCAGTGATCATTGGTACTGATCAGAGATTCTGTGGTGAGGTGCATAACATTTTCTGTGTGACACTGTTACGCTCAGACTAAACCAGCAGAGTATCACTAAGGTGCTTGAAAGACTAATGCACAGTTAAAATGTTACTGCTTGTGTCTGTGCAGATTATCACAGCTCTGTGAGACACTGATGCAAAGCTTACATAAACAACACACCTTTCTTTGTTTGTTAGGAGCTCAGTAAATAATGTTGCTAATGGTAGTGTTTCCCAAAAGGAAAATATTCCCCTAAAGCACAGTTTTATAACTGTAAATGTCATAAATGTACAGAGTACCTTTGGTTTACATCATCACCCTGCTGAATGAGAAACTTCTGTGAAATAAGTGATATTTTATATTGATGCTCTGTAGAGTGCGTTTTACAATGGAAGCTTGTATGCATTGATTCTGTTCTACTAAAGGGGAGAGATTTCTGCTGTTGGAGAGAATCAGAGCATAAATGTGTGGTGTTCTTGTAACTTTTTATAAATTAAAATAATTAGAATAGAATTATAGTTCAGTTGCATAAATCCACTTATTGGAACATCTAGAACAGACACAAGGTGTTTCATATTAATAAAATAAAATCTGTCAAGAACATATAATATGGGGAACTTCTGTACATTGAACTTAATTGCTCTGGCTTTTTCTGGGATAAACAGAATAGTCACAAAAATATATTCTGGGAACGAATGCAAAAGTAATAATTCAAACTTAAAGGACAGAAAAAAGGTATGCTTAACATGTTGAATTAATTCTCCTTCAAATTTTGTTTCCTGTGTACAAATTTCGAAGGTATAGAATTTTAAATAGTCCTTCTCATAGATTGCCTTTGTTTAGCCTTGAGATAAACTTGCAAGAGCTTACTGGGAAAGCTTTATAGAAGTTTTTTTATGGTTTCAAACAACTAATAGATCGTATTAGTTTTTATAATTATAATTAATGGATTATAAATATAATTCATTGAATATTAATTGTAATAAATGGAATATTTAGTAATATTCCATTGGGAATTCTTATAACCAAATCACATTCAGCCTTGAAATGAGTCCTTTCCAGAGCAACGTTTATATTTTAAAATATCACTGGAGACTAGGTGGTAACTTCTAAATAGGTGAAAGTATATCCAGCTGCCACAGTCCTTAACTTTTCACACCACAAGTTTCATAAATACCATGTAAACAAAGAAATTGAAGATGAGAGAGTTCCTTTTACCATACTGTGAATTCAGTATTAAAATATGTAATAAAATGTGCCTTTGTGATTTTAGATGGCTTCACTGGCAGTGACAAACTGGCCTAAACCATTGCCATTGATTCCATGTCTTTCCTGGTCAACAGCCTCTGCAGTCTTCACTACGGTAATTAACAAATTATAAAACACATTTTTTGTTAATATGTTAGATTATGATCAGAAATGTTAATTAAAATATTTGGGCTGGCCACAAGGGAAGTGGGATTCCATGTCCTGTGTTAAAATATGTGCTTGTGTCTTGATTACAATAATTCTGAGGGCTCTCTGGGAACAGAATTCCACTTAAAAAAATCAGGACAGGAACGGGTCAATTTCCTGCATGTATCATTATTTTAGAAAGACCTCTGGGTTTTACTTGTGTACTGAATGCTTTTGTTTATCATCTCAGGGTGTGCTGAGTAAGGCGGTGAACTGGAGAGAGCTGGAGAAACAGTATTTTACACAAACTGTGTATGAAGAAGAAATCATTCAAATGCTTGAATATTGTGGAGTAAGTATGGTTTATTTTACTCAGCTATTAATATTTACTCGTGCAAGTGTAGCAAATAATCCAACTTGTTTTTACTTCCTCTCAAAGTAGACAATTGTAAGCTGGAACTTACTGACATGTTGTTTCTTTATGCTTTGATATATTTAGTCTTTGAAGGAAAAACCTGAGAAACAAACCTAATATTTAGGTTGTATAATGAGTTTAAAGTGTAGCCCTTGCTACAAGTTTCTCCTTTGATCACACTTAGTGTAATCTACAACATAAAATGTATTCTATTAAAATTCTGATAAAACCCTTTTTTTTTTTTTTCCCTAAGATACTTTCTTTTCTCATAGTTCTTTTTCTAATACCTCACAGCAGGAGAAGATGAGCTGGGGTGCAGATAGGTGCAGAGCTTGGGCACTTGTCATTACACTCCAGCAACACTGATGGAGAAGACAAAAATGAAAAGCAAGATTTTTTAAGATGTTCAGCTTGTGTCTCCCTAGTATTTAGAGACTGTCAATTTTTCAGCCTTAAACGTAATATTAGACCTGGTTGCATATGTTAATTTTTCTATTATTATTAGGTCATTTGAGCTTAAATTATTGTAATTACAAATTCAGAGTTTAATATAGAAAGAAAAACAATTGTTTATATCACAAGCTTCTGTATATGTAAGTACCCCCTGCATTTTTTAAGCTGACAGAAATGTTGAATAATTTACTATGATCAGGATTTAATTGAATGACCTACGGGTTGAAAACAGGAGTGATAAGTGCTAGTACTATATTTTTTTAAATTTCTAAACTTTTTTTTAAATTATGAGTTCATCTTAAAAATAAAATAAACCAGCTGGTTGAAAGGAGAAACCCTTAATTGTTGTCTTTGTTTAGACGGATTCTTTCAAGATGGGACAAGACTTTGTGAAGAACTTCCCTGACAGTGTGGAGAGTCTGGCGGACATGGACATGGCTTCCAGAATATTCAGCTTTGAGTCCTTGAATGATACTGTATCTAAGGAATCTGTTCACAGCTTTGCCACAAATAGAAGTGCTCTAAGTGCCTCCTCAGAAAGACTCTTAATGCAAGATGCTCCTAAAATGCAGTGCATAAATCAAACCTTTTCCACCAGTAGCACTAGCAATAAAGACTTAAGCAGCCCACAGGGACACAGGATAAATACAAGAAGGAGTGATACTTTGCAGAGAGAATCCTTAATGTTCATGAAGGGAGTAATGGATGAATGTACCCATGTAGCTAACTTCCCAGGTATGTATCTCTTTGTTTCAATGTGCACGTTGGAAAGTTGAATAAAATACAGTGGGGGGAAAGGAATTTTCTTCATTCTCCAAGTGTAAACCTCCTGGAATCTTTGCTGAAGTATGGAAATACTGTGAGCATTATTCTGTAGTATCTATTTACTACTCCATTTCCTAGTTGTTTTTCTGTTTCTTCTTGATGACTAACTAATTACAAAGTTAATTAAAAATGTTCCTCTCAGTATCTTTGCCCATTTTTCTCTTCTTCCTTGCAGTGGCCTTTTTCAGATATGAGTTAGTGCAAATTAGTATTGTCTAAAGGAAGAAAACACGTGTGATGCAATACCTAGGTGTAATTGATCTTAATTAATCTGCTAATAAGGTTTTTCAAGAAGAAATCTCATTCTGACTTCAGATAGAAAGTAGCCTGCATAGCTGAGCCCCAAGCTTGAATGATATTGCCAGTAAGAACATTTTGGGGGTCCTTCTGGGCTGGTGCAGGCTGGTAAATAGTTTCCCAGGACAGGCATAGCATACAGGGGGAGCTGTAGTCCAGCATTCCTTGGCGTTCAGGGCAAACCCTCTCCAGCAACGCTAACAAGTGATTGCTTCCTAGAGCCGCCTTAAAAGGTTCTGCTGGAATGGGGGCTCGGAATTCCTTTTGTGGCAGTTCGTGGTTTGGCTGTGCATGAACCTGCTGAAGGCAACTCCTACAACATGCTTTGACTTCAGACAGAGTTGTCTTTTAGTGTCAAAGCTTTCTTGGTACTGAGCTCCTGTGCCACCTCATTTCTTAATCCTGGCGTTCTGTGCTCCATTGGTGCAAGCGTTTAGATTTAAATAAATGTTAAAAATAAATAAAAGGAAACATACAACATAAGGAACCTACACTTTTGTAGATTCACTGCTAGCCAGAGATGTCTTGTGATGTATACCAGTGAAGTGCTTTCCTTAAAGCTTTTAAGTTGCTTCAGTAGACAGAAAAAGCCCTGTAAGTTTTATTCCATGTGCAGACGTTCTTGTTTATCTAGACTTACCCAGGTGTAGCTTAGCTAAGCATTGACCTTTCTTGGAACTTAAGAGGATTTGTGACCCTGATGCACTTGTCAAAGAGATGGTGTCCATTGTGTCAATTGTCTCCCAGGTTTTGTCATTCTGTGAGACTTTGCATCTCCTGCCAGGGTATCCTTGGAGTGAGGCCAGACAAGAGCTTCAGAAAATCTGCCTAATGCTCAGATTTCATGGAAAATTGAATGGCAGACTTGAATTTATCTTAGCATTGCATATTCTCTATATATGATTTAGTATATAGAAGAAGGAAAGGTTTAAATTATTTATGACACCCCACTGCCAGACATCTTGGCTGGTCACCCTTTATCATATCACATATTTTCTTTTTGAAGGGAGAAAGGTTCTCTGTTCAACATAATTTTGGTGTTATTTTTCTCAACATCATACTGGTGTTATTCCTGCTAGTAATCTGATTGGTGCAGTTCTGCTTATGAGTAATAAATATGTATAACAATATGTTGGGATGTTTATTTTGCAAATAAACCATGTAGGAAACAGAAAAGAAAATTAACATAGGCTGTACTTTCTGACCTCTTGTATGAAAAGCTGTATTTTTTCCTCCCTGAGGGGAAAAAATATATGAAACTCTCTTGAATTTAATAGGGGTTTTTTTTGCCAATAAAATGGGATCTCAAGGAACTGTCATGAATGCTATAGAGTTTTGTTGATAAGAGGAAAGTGAGTTCTCCTGTCAATTTCACAAGTCTTTGAGGAATTTCTGCTCTAGGGGTGGGAAGGGTAAGGGCTAGTTTGGTTTTCCACTGATGGCCTCACTCCTGTAACATCAAAAATCAGATAAATTTTGCTGGAGACTTTATAACATGTGATTTTATTAAAGCTTCGAATAATTTATTTTTTATGAAAATAACACTTTGACAACAGAAATCTCAGCTGTTGTGTTTCTGTTTCTTACAACGGATGAACTCAGTTGTGCTTTGTTTTCCTTTAGTTCCAGTTGACCCAAGTTTAATCATAGTAGTACAAGCCAAGGAGGATGCCTACATTCCTCGCACTGGCGTACGCAGCCTGCAGGAGATCTGGCCGGGGTGTGAAATCAGGTATCTGGATGGAGGTCATGTCAGTGCCTACCTCTTTAAACAAGGACTCTTCAGGTAAGGTGAACAGAAAGGTTTAAAATTAAATGTTAAACAGAAAGGTTTAAAATTAAATTTTAGATTTAATCAGAATTAAATAAGTAGTATTTACATGAATTCATGCCTTAGTAATATCAGGTGTTGATTTTCTAAAGACAGTTATGTAAAGCAGTTATATGAGTGCAGTTCTGTAGTTTTCAAAAAGTTAAATACTTGTGCTGGTAGTTTTAAAATACAAGGAATTAGGAAGACTATATGCATCATTTAGGAAGTCTAAGCAACAACAAAAAAGAATAGCATTATATTGGGTCAATGTATGCTAACCAGTAGTTTACAGCTATTTAAAACTTCAGCCTTACTTTTGTGGCAGTTGCTCAAAATTTTCAAGCTATGCATGCCTCTGATGTGTTTGAGTAGAAAACTCCTAATCTGTCTACATTTCCACTCGCATTAAAGTTGGAAAATAGTCCCACTCATTTCTGAAACACAAATATATTACTAGATCGAAGTGAGGAATCCCAGAAACAAAAGGAGAAAATATCACCTGATACCACATTTTTATTGAACACAGTTTTGAAATTGATAGCTTTGTAGATATATTTGTAAATATATGGAAAAATGCCACTTATATCTGCCTTTTCCCAAATAACACAAATTCTCTTCTCTTTTCCTTTTTTCAGACAAGCAATTTATGATGCGTTTGACCGCTTCCTCCAGAAATACACCATGTGATCTTTCTAATGCATTCAAACTGATCTCATTTGTAATTCAGCTTACTGGAACTCATGTTTGGAAAACAAGCCTCTTGTAGTGTTGAGCAGATGGTCACTGACTGTTGTAGGTAACAATTACCAGAAGTGATAAAGTACCAGCATTGTTTTCATTTCAACCCAGTGCCATTCTGACAGCTGCTTCGGCGTTACCTATGAAAAAACAACAGCTTTTGTCAGTGCATGAGTGGTTCATGTACTTCATGTCTAATCAGATGGTGTGTTCCTTAAGTTCTGAATAAATTCTGAATTGTGTGTCAGTAGAAAACGGATCAATCAAGTATTGGAAGAATGTAAAATGTACCGTGGAGCTAAGCTGCTCTCTTGTGTTTGGTGTAGTTTTGGTTTGTTCCAGATACCTCGGTTACCTCTTGCTTCCTCATGGCCTTGCTGTTCCTTTTGTGTTGTACTGTGGCTTTGCCAGCACTCAGCCTCTTATGTTTGTCACTGCTTTTGTCTTCAATTATGAATTGAAAATGAGCCTTAGCAGAAGGCTCAGCACCACATCTTGGAAAGAGAGACTTTGACAATGTAAGGAAAAGTGAGAGAGAGATGTTTTAATTCAATATGTCTGTGAAGTTTTCCTTCCACTAAATTAAACCATGCCATTACAGAGGAATCATGTAGCAATTCATCAACCAGGTTCACAAAACTGGAGTAAGTGAAAATCAAGTGTCTGGTAATTAATTGTTTACATTAATTCAGTTGGATAACATAAGTTTCCAGATTTATTTTCTTTTTTTGGATTGATAGATGAAATAGAAATATCATTTTACTTTCTAAGCACTGGCTGATTCTAAGCAGTTAAATTGACAGCAGATTATATGGTGCTATAAAGACTTGTTGGAAATACTTCAACAGATGTCCTTTCTAAAGTGCACTCAATGCTGATATGCAAAATACACTTGCACTGTATAATTTAAAAGATACGTGAGACTAAAGGTTATTGAAACAGTTAGGTTTGCTCCTTATTTTTCAACACTTGTCTTTTTTAATTGGATGGAAAATAAAGAAACTTGGATTTTGAGCACATTTTAGAAAATCCAAAGTCTGTTGTTTCCTCTTTTGGGATCAAAAATGCCAACAAATTATAGCAGAATAAAAGGTTGTCATGTATCAACTGTGTGGGTATCTCCCCACATTTTCTTTTTGTTGTTGTTGTAATCTCCCATAACATTCTTTCAAAACTGATCTGCAGAGAAGTTGAAAACTGAAACACTTCAGTATTTGGTACAGTCATGACCAGGATTATTCTGAAACAAACATCCAGCCATTTCTCAGGATGTGTCACTTCTGCACCTTTCCAATCAAGCACTTTTGATCTCCGTGGTTATTGTAAAGGTTTTTAGTGGGCAGAGTATGGAGTAAACAAAGCTCAGTTTATATATTCTCTTGGATTTTAGTCAGGTAGACAGGACTAGTAACTGTGAAGAAATCACTGTTCATTTGAAAATCAGGTGTGTTCAGATAAAACTGAAGAGCAACAATTTTAAATAACTGAAATGACGTAACATACAAATTTTACTGAAAATGCAGAAGAGGTTCTAGTCTGATGGAAGTTAAATTGCTTCCTTCAGATGGTTTTTCATAGTTTTTTTGGAGAATGTTGGTTCTATATATGGGGAGCGGGAGCAAGTGTGAAGTGACTAGCACATTTAAACAACAAACATTTGGAGGATTTGAAATTAAATACTAGCAAGCTTACAAATTTAAAATTAAAGTCTTGACTTCAGTTTTAAATTGAAGATTCACAGGGTTTACAAGCATTTTCATCAACTACAAGTGCTTTACTACAGCACTGTCTGCTGTTCAGCAGCTTTTGTAGCTCTCACATTTTAAATGTAATTGTGTGCTTTGTGTCCTGCTTCTGTTGCAGCTATGAGAAAGGGAGATAACTGGTGGCAGGAGAAAGGGCTTGAATACATGCAAGAGAGAAAAGACAGATTTTGTAAAGGCTAGGAGTAAGCACAAAAAAAATCAACTCTGCTACAAAGTATAACATGCCAAAGTAAATATTTTCAAAGCGCACAATACTGGGAATTACATAACTGATGGGAACTCTGCATCCTGAGGTTAGTGTTCTGATGGTATTACTAACAAGGTTTAACTTACCAAAAGGGCACAGAAGGAGGTTTAGGCTAATACCACTCCTGCTGTGAGAGTGTCTTTTGGGACAAATGCTGCTCCTGGTTCTGAGAGTGTTTTTTGGGACAAGCAGTGAAGGACTGGCAGGTCTTTCAAATTTGACAAATTTGTCTTTCAAGTCTGACAAATTTCTGACAAGAATAAGGAACTACACCTTGCTCTGCAACTGAAGTCGTGTTGCCAAATATGAAAGCCCAGTAAGCATTATTTAAGAAATTTCTCAGGTTAGCATAACAAAAAAAAAAGGAAAAATTAGCTCAGTGGTCTATTTCTGCCAGTTATCAGACATAGGGAGATGGTCTGGGGGGAATGTTGCTGTGTGTGTGTTTTTAACCCTTGGGAAATCAACTTTTTAAATCATATTTTAAGGTTAAATCCTAAAAAGTATAAATAATCCATTTTGATGTTAAATGAGAATGTGGTTTTAATCCAGGAGTTGCATGAAAGAAATATTGTAACAAGGTTTCCTCTGTATAGCAGGTAAGCTATTTTGTCTGTCTTAAATTTATTGTAAAACTGATCTTGGTAATTTTTTGGTTTTAATTTTTTTTCAATAAAAGTCCTAAAAACATATAAGTGTGAGGGAGTTTTTCTTCTCTCTTGTTAACAGGTGTTCAAAATGCATTCCACTGTCATCCTTTCTCTTCCTACTAAAGCTGTAGCACGAGGAGAGCAGGTAATCTACAGGACAAGATAAAAGCTTCTCATAACAAACACTGGTGCTGCTTTGATGTTTTTCTACATGCCTAGGAACCTAGTAAGGAAAATAAGCTTTATCAGCTAATTAAGATACCATTGTGATTCCAGTTTAACACTTGCCAGTGCAGGACATATCTAATAATTGTCAGATGGAGCATCTTCTAATTTTTTTTGCCCACGGCCAATAAAACCCCCCCAACAACTCGAAAGGAACCACTCGGGATTTTTTTTTCTTTTTTTTTTTTTTTTTTTTTTTAGCAAGGATAGATCACTTGAGTTTTTTTTCTCCAGAAAGTCTGCAGAAAGGAAACACTATATGAAGGAATGGAGTCTTGCTGCTTTTTTCATACTTCCTACTGGAATGTCAAATGCCTGTAATTGAGATACTTTCTAAATAGTAGAAGAGTGAAAATCCTTGGATCCTCAGAATACTATTTCTGCTTGATAGCTGCTAACACTTTGAGGCAGGTTTTTTTTTTTTTTTTAATTTATCTTAATTGTTTCTGTCTTGTGTTGGTTTTTTTTAAAATGTTGATCTGAATTGCTGTTGGTTGGGCAGGGAAGTTTCTTTATCTCAGACTGACAGGTTCTCTGCCAGCTTGACAGTAATGATAAGTTACACGGCATGGAAAGGAGCTTTGGGGTGGTCTGTAACCCTGTCATTCCTCCTGAATTTTTACCCTGTACAAGTAAAATGCTGCTATTCCATGCAATCCTGGAATTTGCAGTGTTCCTTGGTAGGCTTGGATGCTTCCACACAAGATACAACATGAGCATTAAAACACCAATAAGAATTGCTATTCTCCTGGTTTCACTTGGTGTAAATCAGCCCCTTTTCCAAACAGGAGCATTTGAAGTACCGTGTTCCCGAAGGAAAGGGAGTTTAGCCAGAGCAGTCTGACTTGCACTACTAGAGAGTAACAAAGAGGATGATACAAGTGGACAAAATGTAAAGAAGGACAAAAATGAGTCCTAGCAACTGTAACAGTTTTTTATATCCTCTTCAGTCCCAGTCCGTCCAACAAAGTCTGCAGGAAGCTCCATCCTACAGAGTTAGCAAAGCAAGTATGGTCAAAGACTTCTCAAGTACCACATAACTGATCAACTTTAGTGCTTTTTTGCCCCCACGTAATTAGCCCTTAATTAGTTTCCTGCTCTGTTTAGGTTCCTGAGGTGTAGAATTCCTGAAGTCCCAGCTGGCCTGGGACTGATCTGCTACTACTGGTTCCAGAATAACCCTAAAATGTTTCAGTGCCTGAGGGATCAGCTGTGGTGGGAATTGTTTGAGGTTTTGGTTGATATGTGGTGGATTTTTTTTTTTTTTTTCCTGATGAAGGGGTAAAACTCCAACAACATGATCTCATTAGAGCGGAAAACATCATTACCCCAAACAGAACATATTTTAGTGCTGCAAAACACAGGAAATTTGTTTATTTGTGACACTACCTCAAAAATATTTGACTAGCTTTATAGAAGCCTGTTTAGGAATTTGCTTAGTTCACTATAGAAGTGTTGGTGTTATTTTTTGGAAGACGTTTTGTAAGAAAGGGATTAAAACACGGCTGAGAGGTGAATGAAAGAAATGGAAGAGGAGCAGGTTTCTTAAGGTGTAATCTAGGAGAATTGTGGGAGCATTAGGAGCTGGCAAAGAGGGAAAGGAGTGATTAAAGTCGTGCTGTGGTGGCTTTCCTCATCATCCTGTGACCGTAGTGGCAGGAGCGTGGGTATAACCAGTGCGCCTGAAATGAGTGCACGTGCTACTGCGAGCTGGTTTTCTGGGGGATTTTTGGGAGAAAGTAGAAACGCGGAGGAGAGATGGCATGATGGCAGAGGTACCTGTTGCTTGGAACGCTTAAATGATACGGGATTCCCTCGCTGCTGGGACCTCAAGCACGTTCTCCTGCCCCCGTTGAGCGCGTTCTCGAGGCTGTGCCTCGGGGGGGCCGTGCCCTTCGCACCAAAGAGACGCGCTCATCCTCCCGCCCACCCTATCCAGACCCTCCCCGCGCCGTGCAGGTGCGGGCGAGGCCTGCGGAGCCGAAACGTCCGAAAGGGCCTGGAAAGCCTCCCGGCGGCGTGAGGTCACGGCGCACGGGAGAGCCGCGGGTCCCTCCCCCGCGCGGGCGGGGCCGGGCCGGCCGAGGCGGCGCGCCCGGAGCGCCGCGCGTCCCTCCGCAGGCGGCGGCGGCCCCGGCGGGTCGCGGTGGCTGTGCCTCGCTCCGCGCGTCGCTCCCCGCGGCAGCGAGGGCAGCAGGGAGCCCCGGCGGCGCTCGGCCCGGCCGGGGGGCGCTGGCAGCGGCTCCGGGGCGGGGCGCCGAGGAGAGGAGGCGGGTTCCCCTTCCCCCGCCGCGGGCTCCTCGCCTCGGCCGCCCCGGCTGCGGCCCCTCCGGCGGGCGCACGGCCGGGCATGTCCGCGGCGCAGGTGTCGGAGCGGCGGGGCTGGGGGGCGGCCCAGGAGCCCCGGCAGCCTGAGCCCGGCTCTCCCCGCGGCGAGGAGGTGGCGGAGGAGGGCGGCCGGAGCAGGGGAGCCCCGGCGCCCAAGGAGAACGCGTGGACGCGGCGCAGAGCCCGGCGGGACAGCCCTTCCCCGCCCGCGGGGCCGGACGGGCGGCTGGGACCGCAGGAGCCAGGTGCGGGGCCGGGAGCGTGTGCGCGGCGCCTCGGTGGCAGCGGGGCGGCTTCGGTTTTTTTGGTGTTTTTTTAGGAAGGAAAAGCGCGTGCTTGTCGGCGGCCGCGGAGCCGGGCCCGTGCGCGGCGCGGCTGGAGCCGGGCCGGGCGCGCTGGGTTTGGCATAGATGGGCACGGGAGGCAGCGCTCGGGGCGGGGGACACGGCCGGGGACGGCAGCGCCGGGCTGGCCGCAGGGCCCGCGGCTCGCGAGTGGCCGCCCCGGCCTGGCGGTGACCTCCGGCCGGACCCCGGCGCTCGCAGGGAGGCTGCTCGCCCACTCGTCTCGGTTAGCCTCCTTCAGGAACGCCGCTTTGCCGCAGCTCTCTTTTGGCTACTCGTGTAGCAAGGCCCTCGGAACGATCCGTTAGCTGGGTTTGGTTTCCAGAATGGGCTTGCGGAGGCTCTGAGCACTGACCAAAGCAGACAGTTCGCTCGCTGTTGGGATTCGGTGTGTTTACACAGGGAGAGTAGCCACGGGATAATTTCCTGGCCTTAAATCACTACGTGTAAGATAAAGCTGCTTTATGGGCACCACGCTGACTGAACGGGCATATGGCTTTACAAAGCTGGTCGTCAAGGATGTAACTTGAAATTGCCAGGCTTTGTGCTTAGGCTAGCAAAGAGTTCCTAGAAGTTTGTAGCTTCTTGGAGTATTGTTCTTGGCTGCGAGTAAACTGCTGACCTCAAAAGAAATACTTCAACCAGTGCTTCCCGAGAATTTCAATCTCAGCACTTGCTCCCAAGGGCACCTGACAAACCTTTTTTGTGATCTCACAGTCACTTTTATCCTTGAATTAAACACGTACTTCCTTGACAAAGAAAAATATATAATTTACAGTTTCAAGCGTACAGGTCATACAAACGGAGACCACATTCCAGACCACAAAATCTCTACTTGACTGAAGAGCAGAACTTTTGGCAACATATATATACCCATCTTTATTATCTGTACTGTTTTGTTTATGTGTACTGACGCGCTCCTAAGTACCTGTTTGTGCCCAGCTTCCAAAATCCAGCTGGCTGGGCAGAAGCTTGTGGTCCGCTTCGTGCATGAAAGGGGCCTTGTCACTTGTTTGCCTTGCTGTGGCAGCAATAGCAACACTGCTACATCAGAAGCAGTGGGAAAGCTGCATTTTTTGTGTTAGCACCGTGAGTGCTTCACCTCTGTAAAGTTTGCTTTTCCAGCAAAGATAAAGGACACAAATAGCTGCAGAAGGAAGGAGGAGGCAGCAAGCATTCATACTTCATTTTGTGAATTTGGAGAGCCTTACATTGTTTTTCTCCTGCAAGAAGTTGTGCCTACCATTTATGGAATTAGTAATTAAGCTGAGGAGTTGTACTAGAACATAATTTTCGGTGGCCAGGTGTGTAACTGAGCAAATAAGAGAGTCAGCATTGCTGGCAGTGGCACTGGTGAAGAACACACACCAGGGTGTGTGTTTTGGTTTGGCCACCACCAGAAGAGCCATGAGGAAGCTACCATTCTTACCCTTGTAAAAGGCAAAGCAGCTGATCCTTCCTGGCTGTTTGAAGGAAGAAATTGCCATGTGCCTCCACCCGCAACAAGGGATGTATTTTGAAGACACTAATTGCACGTTGGCAAAGAAACATCTGTCACACTAGGCCCTCTTGAATGTTGTAGTATGGAAATTAGTCATGTGAAATAATAAGTGGATGAGCAGAAGTACTACTGTGATGGAATGTGGAACTATCCGTAAAGAGAATAATAAAATGGAAAAGGATCTCACATCAAAGCAGTGACTGGATCCGGCTAGACTTGTTGATCCTGGCATAATTTGTTAAAAATTTCCTGAGATGTGCACCTATGGTATGTTCAGTGATAGTTACAGACTTGAGAAAATTGGCTCCAGCCTGTCATCTTTGGACTTTCAATTTATCATGGGATTGGTTTGTGATAGAGGCAAACCTTGTTCTTGTTACTGAAACAAACTATTAACGTCACCTGATACTACCAGGAAAATGTAACATTTTGGCAGAAGAATTCGGCCCAAGCCTTGTTACTGCAACTGATTATATTTTTGTCTCAGATACCTTAGTTGGTTTTAGTCACTGCAGTGAACCAAACACCCAATGCAAACATACCTGAACTTTTCATGGTGTGTTTGTTACCACAGTTCAGTGTTTTTGACCAAGCCTTTCATTAAACTTCGCTTTTAAGCAGAGTAATTTCAGAATAACTTCATAAGCTACTTCTACATCCTCATCTGCCTTTAACTTGTGGGGCATGACTTGTATCAGGTATAAAATGGCTCATGAAATTAATAGGCTTCTCTCTAGTTCAGGAAGAATTGTTCCCCTGAGAGAGTGGTTAAGCTTTGAAACACACTGCCCAGGGAGGTGTGCAGTGTCAGTCCCTGGAGGGGTTCAAGAAATCACTCAGTGCCAGGGTTTAGTTGACAGGGTGGTGTTTGGTTAAAGGTTGGACTTGATGATCTTGGAGGTCTTTTCCAGCCTTGGTGATTCCATGATTCTGATCCTGACAGGTTCTCAAGTCTTCGTGTGATTTGTATAGCTGATGTGGGTCTCTAATGACTTATTAGATTATTATTCAAAAGTTGTTCATGAAATTCATCAAAATATTCAGTGGAGCAAAATACTTGTGCTGCTGAAGTGGTTGAAGTGGGTTTGCCTATTAGTGTGTGCTTGAATGACATAGTTAATTAAAATAAGTGCACACTTCATTCTTTTATTTTCTGCTTACTGTGTTTATTTTGGGGCATCAAAGAGTACATTTTATCTGTTTGATATTTTGGTACCAGAACCATTTCACTGTAGTGCTATTGTATAAACCAATTTGCTTTAGCCCGATAGCAAAACAGGTTGTAAAGGTACACTTTAGTGAAGATACACTGTGTTGCTATGAATAGCAAACCTTAGATGAGTAAATTGATAAATGATCTGATTACTGAATCTTTTGGGTGTATTTAATTCAGGTGTGCTCATTAGTTCTTAAGAATTCATGGAGTGTTTTAATAGTAGCATATAAAACTTATTGAAAGCCTTATCAGAAGTTTCAGCATTGACAATTTCCCCAACCCTAAAAGGGTTAAAAACATTATCCATACAAAGCTGCTGCCTGTATTTTAATTATACATAACAGCATGTGTAATTTTGTTTGACTGTTTTTTGTCTGGGGTTTTTGTTTCTAAACTGGAGACCTGTTATGAAACTGAAACCCACCTCCCTGTGCTGTGGCATGTGCTACATTTAACCATGAAAACTTTGGTAGAAATTGAGTCACAGGTTGCAGTTTTCTGTGAAGAAGCTAAGAAAAAAAAATGAACTGAGAAATTAAATCTAAGGAAAATAAATAGCATCATGGTGAATCAATCATGTTTTGTGGATTCTGCCCCCCCCCCCCCCCCACTATTGTTTGCTGTATTGATGGGTTTTGAACATAAATAGATGGAAGGGTGCAAGTGTCATAACTTGCTGCCTTGGTTAATTGTTCAAATATCATGGAGATTGACAACCTAATGTAGTTTTTGCTATAAAATTCTAGAACTCCTGTAGAGCAGAATGTTAGGATAGTAATTGGGATTTTTAAAATTGTTTTGCAGAATCTTTGCTGTAATCCATGCTCTGGATTTTAATTAATTATATTCTCCAAGGGATAATTTTTGTTACATTTGCAATACTTCATCTGTTAAAACAATAGATAAAAGCATAGCTTACCTTGTTTAAAAATACAATATACTGTCTAGTTTCAAATGGAGCATTGAAAGAAAAATATTGTACAAGTTCAACACACAGGCTCCAATTAAGTTTTGAAGAGCTGAGTGATTTTATCTGCTCCCTGAAGCACTTCTGGTATTTATGTGCTGCTATTTCCTTCACAAAAGAGAACACACGTGCAGTCCAAGTAAAAATAAAACCTGAATATTGTCTAGAAAGCCTCATAGCATAAACAGTGTTTGTATCAAAAATTAGAATACATTCCACCTATGTTAATAGACTTTGCTTTCATAAAAAATTAGTAATATCATCTTCCCTTTCCATCAGAAAAAATTACTTGCTATTTATTTGCAGAGCTTCAAACCATCCTTTTTGAAGTCCTATTACTTGTGACCCTATTGTGATTGTGATCAGGGGTAGTTTGGTGAGAGATCTTAGGTACAAACTTTGATCCTCAGCCATGCAATCTGCTTTTCCTTCTCTATTGCTGTTGTCCCAGAGGATTACTGCAGTTTTGGTGGTTCGAAAATTCATCTTTTCTTTTTCAGACTTGTTGTTCCATTGATCTTGACATGCTGCTCATGGCACGTTTGTACTGCCTTGTCTTTCTGCAGGAAGTACCTCCTGTTGGGATGTGGTCTGCTAGGAAACTTGGAAGAACCATAACAAAAATG